CGACCTACCTAAGACTCAGGCACGGAAACAGGGTTTCGGGAACAGGCCAGAAATAGCCTGTTCCCCACGCCAGCTCGAGCAGGAGCTGCAGCTGCAGCCCCTGCCTCCCTTCGGCATTGGCAAGAGCAGCCTCCTGGACTGCTCGCCTGCAGTCAGGAGGCACACCCGAGTAGTACATAGGAGAGTCCCATGCACTTCACGGGTAGGTAGTTGACAGTAGGCACGAGTAGTCTTCAGGATTCAGCGCAGCACTCAGGAGGAGCGCTGCAGGGAGTAGCTTAGCGCTAGCAGTAGTCTTCAGCGCTGGGCGCTAGTAGCCATAGCAGTAGTCTTCAGCACTGGGCGCTAGTAGGTGGTAGATAGTAGAGTTGGGAGAGATGGCTGGCGGAGGCCAGCGAGACTTACCTGTGGCGCCATAGCTCCAGCTCCATCTTCGAGGTACCTGCATCAAGGCGCCAACTTCACAGGTTAGTACTGGACTGAGAGAGAGGGAGAGAGAGAGAGAGAGAGAGTTCTTCTTCCTCTTCTTCTAAGTCCATCATCTCTTCTTCCCCTCTCACCACCTGACTTCTCAGTATCAGCGGACTACTACAGAGAAAGAGTTGTGACTTGGGACTTGACGACATTGGATCCAGACTTGACATTTGGGATTCAGACATTTCGACGAGGGACTATTTGGGCTGTGCCGAAGACTTGGTGTTGACGACATTCCCATCTTCCCCTCCTCTTCGTCTAACCCCCCTTCTTCTTCGTCTGTGTATGATAGGGGCTGGCGCAGTCTTCCTGTGTGAAGCGCCAGACCCCATTCACACCATGTAACGATGATGATGATGTATGTTCAGGGCTGCATTGCAATATTGATTGTTCGGATCATTGGTATCTAAGTCTTCCGCTGTGCTATCTTATACTTTGTGCTGGTAGCCGCACTCAGAGAGCTCACGTTGTTGGCGCTCATCAACGAACTGTGATCCTTAAGAATGTTGTTGTGGTGGTATACACCCCAAGCATGGGGTTGGTTGTCCTGGTGGCTACCAGGAGGTGGTTCAACGGCACTGCACAGAACGTTGAGCGTGCAGCCTCTGACGATTGTTCGTGCCTTTGGAAAACAATCACAGACATGGATTGAGGTCCGAGCGTATCATAAAATATTGGGACAATAAATCCCCGATAGCAAAAATAATTCTGGCAGCGAAGTACTCACACTTTTGCTTCATGCTGGACCTGGTAGGCCCAAAGCTTTTTTGGCTTGGAGCTCCAGCCTCGAGAAAATCAATATGTTTGTCAAAATAGTTTCAGGAGCAGTGTGGTTTAAATTTGAAAGGGCTATCTATATCGTAATGATGGATACTGGCTTCTTTTCTGGTGCAGGTTCATGACGAATGGCGGTTGAGCAGATAGGTGTCTGTTCATCTGTTGTTGGGTGCAAGTTAGCATTAAATCACCAATACCCATCCCCCTTCTCTAAGGTTTATAGAGTGCTGTATATGCGCCGCGAAATGGAAGGCTCGACCTACCAGGCCCATTAGGGGGTGTGCAAAATTCCGAGCAGGTAGGGTTTGCTGTACACAGGGAAGAAATTTACAAAATAAACAACTTTTCGCCACAAAAAAAAATATATAGGATAGGTTTCGCCGTATCAATGGTCAGTAGCCGCTCAACCATACGGATGTGAGCCACCTTGCACTTTCCATCCATCTGTTTGCCCCGCCGCCCACGCTCCCACCGGCCTGTTTGTGTCTGTCAGAAACCTCCGCAGGCATGCCCCCCACCTGTGTCTGTTCATTGTCTCTATGTGTCGTAAATGCGTATGTGTGGAACCTAGGGAATGGACGGATGTGTGGCTCATATGGGCTGCTTTTCTAAATACATTGTTCTTTGGGGGGGGGGCCTACCTTCTTCCCCCAAATACAACGAACGCCGTACGGTCCTTATAGCTGTATTTGGGGTATATTTCAGTGTAGATATACAGTTATAATGATCGTACGTTGTATTCGGGGGAAAAAGGTAGGGTGTTTTTGGCAGTAATTCATCGGATAAGGGTCCAGGTGATGACAGGTTGCGGCTCTGTGATGCTTCCTGTTGTCAGGTGATACTATGCGTGGAATCAGAGAGCAGTTGTCCGGGTGTCACCTCCCATCTCGTTCAGGCCCGGTTTTCCCTGCGGACAAACAGGAACTCGTTCCTCTAAAACATTTTAACGGTACTTGGATCATCATGTGGCCCCGATTCATTGAAAACGTTCGGTCCATCTGAATGTGTGGATCATACAGTCCAGATACGTTTAGAATGTTGTGCACTCCAGCGAGGCCCCCAGTCTTCTCAGCTGCTTCCATGCGGCCACATATTTTGGAATTAGACTCTGGAGAGAACAATTGCACTGGTGAAGGAGAACAGGGTTATGTGGAGGGAGATGGTGGAGAAGAATGTAATGACATTCGGAAAAGATGTTGTGTAAACCTCCTGCATCGAAGCTGGGTGCATAGCGACTCTCTGAAAGGCCAGCTGCTCACAGATAGAAGGCCCAGTCGGAAACCTGTGCGTAGTTACCGAACGCCCTGGGTCCCATCCATGTAGGACTACAGACAGACAGACAGAAAGACAGACAGAAAGACAGACACACACACACACACACACACACACACACACACACACACACACACACACACACACAGAGAGAGAGAGAGAGAGAGAGAGAGAGAGAGAGAGAGCATGCTCTCAGGTTCCGACAGGAAATCTGAAAAGCCAGCTGCTCTCAAAAACAGGGCTACCAAACACACATGGGTCCCATCCATGTAGGACCACAGAGAGAGAGAGAGATAGAGAGAGTGCTTTCGTACAGTTCCCACAGGAAAATTTAACCTGGAGATCCTATCCTTCTTGACCGAGCGCGGGAAGTGTGGAAGGAAAGGGTTACTCAGTTGCGAGGAGCTCGAGAGGATCACAAAGACAGCATCTCCTTTCTGAAAGGCCTGCTTGTTTGTGAAGTCCTCGATTGATTGGAGCTCGCATAGTACTTTGTTCCACTGCTTGCCAAATGTCAAAGTAGTGTCCAGAACCTCCAGGCATATATCCCATTGTCACTGTAGTGAGTGGTAGAACAAGGGACATTTCTCATGTACAGGAGCATAAAGGTGTTTCTAATTGCGCTGCGGTCTTTTCCAAAACATGTGGTGTCTGTTTCCGTCCTCTTTGCCATCTCTCGTCATGTACAGGAGCATAAAGGTGTTTCTAATTGCGCTGCGGTCTTTTCCAAAACATGTGGTGTCTGTTTCCCTCCTCTTTGCCATCTCTCGTGATCGTCCTCTTTATCATGTCCTATTCCTCCTTTCTCCTCTCCTATCCTCTCTCCTCTCTCTCAAGAAGGAAAAACATGGGTTCGCGCCGGCCCCCACGTTTTGCATGCCTCACAGAACGGGTACCGTGCACTGGCAGGTGCCACGTCGCACGGCACCATCCGCAGTACTGCTCACTTGCAAGCTTACTGTGGGACAAACAGATTGTGTATGATTATGGTGATGGCGTGCTGTGTTCAGGGCCAAAGGGCACCTCCATCAGCCTACACCACCGAGCGATGATGCTGGTCGCTCTTTCTTATCCTGTACCAATTATCCAAGTGATTCAGCTATGCTTATTGATGAACGTTAATTATATGCTTGAAATTTCAGAAGGCTTTGTTTCCATGACCCTTGTGTGTGGTGGTGGGTCCTCGACATGAAACCCTTCACAAGCCTCATATGTTTGACATCCAATGGGAATTTTCATGGATTTAACCACTTCTCAATATTGAGCCTCATGCCACTCACACATTCTCCAGATATCGGGAGCCTCGTTTGCTGGGAAATGGTTTTGAACTTCGAAAATGTACTCAAAATGTTTTTGGACTTCGAAAATGTACTCCTCTAAATGTTTTTGAACTTCAAAAATGTACTCGAAATTTTTTCGAACTTCGAAAATGTACTCTACCGCTTAAACCACCAGTACTACGCCCAGCTATTGATGCCGAGCCCAAGTTCGCCCTGCACGCCCAAAAAAAAGGAACCATCACGGGCCTGCTCTTTTTGGCTGGGGCTGCCAGCCACTTCGGTTCGGTACCTAGAAAATGCGGTCGTATACCAAACCTGTCCCGTGTCCCAGGTATTTTGCTCTGACGGTGTGGTTTACCCACCGCCTAGTTGGGGGCTCGGTCTATCAGTAGGAGAAGGTTGGCAGCACCAGGCATAAATAAAATATTTGGAACCCGCACCGGTTCTTTTTCCTTGGTGCGCAGTAGAAATCCAGGTCAGGAAAAACGAGGTGCGGAGATACTGTTGGTTTAGACCACCAGTTGCTTTTCCAGCCATTTGTTTCCCATGTGGTGGTTAACCCATCACATATTTGGGGACTTGGCCTTCTTGACAGAAAAGGCTGGCGTCCCTAGGCAAAAACAATGCGACTTGTGCCCCTGCCACCTTGGTTTTTGTTTGGTGCAGGGACGAAATCCGAGGCTTGGACGGACTGGTGGTTTAAGACTCCAGTACCTGAAGGCTTCCATTTGGCGAAGCAGATTCCCTCCTGCACGGCAGTAAAAAAGAACTGGCAAGGGTCTTTTTTTGGCTGGCGCTGCCAGCCATTTTACGCCAGCAGGCCGACCCCTGAAACTTGTGATGCCTGCACGGCCACATCAGAGAAAAATGGCTGGGAAAAGAACTGGTGGTTTAAGTACCATGATGCACGGGCACCCTTGTACCTGGTTGTTTAAGTAGCATGATGCACGACCACCCTTGTACCTGTCTCTGCAGGTGTATTTAGACCACTAGGTCTACTACTTTTTCCAAACAAGATATGCCATTGTTTGATTTATCTGTAGTGCTCCTCATTCTGCGATTCTTGTAGACCTTGCTGTCGCCAGCTCACCTTTCTTTTACTTGTGCCTTGTGGATCGTGTCTTTGTGCAGAGCTCTTGTAGACCCCCAGCTCACCTTTCTTTTACTTGTGCATTGTGGATTCGTGTCTTTGTCCAGAGCTCTTGATCACCGTCCATTGAGGAAACCAATGAAAGGCAAATCCGTGTACGCTATTGGTCGGAATCTTCTCTGCGAGGACGTATCACGTGGCCTGGAGTCTGTTCCTGTTCCCTGTACTAATGATGTGGATGATGACCCTCCACCGCAAGTCGAGTACATTGTAAAGAGCAGGTAATATCACGTCATCCTCATGCTCAATATATTATGAGGAGTGGGTCAAATCCTGCACGAAAGCGGCTAGAGTTTAGAGACGAAAGCAGCTAGGGATGAAAGCAGATGTGTACGAAAGAGTGCCTCTCTTACATTCTGGATATTGGATTGGTTATAATTAAGGACTGTATTTCCACAAAGAAAGATGGGTAAATGTCCAGACAGGGGTGAACAGTGTCATGTCGGAAACCACTGGAAGAGCACCTGCTGAATGTTGGATATGTTCCGAAACCTACCAATATGACTTAATTCGTCTTCTCTAGTTGCCTGTGTAGTTCCCTGGCCCTCTTTCTTCGCTTTGTTGACTTGATTTTGCATGCCCTGCGATTTTCTGCAGCCCCTGTTTCCAACGTGTTCAAATTGGTTTGGCCCTGAAGCAGCCACAGAGAATCCACTGCTGCGAGTTGCTCTGATGTCTGACGTCCAAAAACTGCCACATGTGGAAGGCCAATCAGCCCTCACAATCTTTTTTGACTGTTGTCAGGGAAGAAAAAGGGTTTAGGGGGCCAGCAGGTCCTTTATGCATTCAAGTTCTTTCATTCTTGTTGTCAAGTATGATAAGATGCATAATGATGACCCAGAAAAACTGACAACGTACCCATTGATCGGGTCTGTGACTCTGTGAATTTTGTCTTTCATCTCTTTTGCATTCTTGTTTGGGTTCCCCCTCAAGCTTCAGTCTCACATTTCATGGCCGCAAGTGTTAGCATTGGTATTTGTTCCTTGGGCTTTATCCTGACACGATAACAACCAACTACTGGCCCTTACTACTACCACGGCACACACACACACACACACACACACACACACACACACACACACACACACACACACACACACACACACACACAGCACACACACACTCACACACACACACACGCGCACACATACACACACACACACAGAGAGAGAGAGAGAGAGAGTACTCTAAAAATCGGTCTTGGAGGGACACGGAGGGAGTGCACGTATATGGAGGAGGAGACACAAAAGTGAGACAGAGGAGGAAGAGGGAGATACAGAATGGTAACAGGAGGGAGACAGAGCAGGGAGTCAGAGCTACTCTGTGGGTAGGAAGAGAGACATACGTCTTGATCGAGGTTGTGAGGCGGGCACGGATTGTGGGAGTGCAAGGGAGGGACCAAAGTTCCAGGAGTAACAACAGGGAAGGGGAGAATGCAAAACTGTTGGGTCGATGAACAGTTCCTCTCTCTTTTTTTCTTGGAGTAGCATGTTTTCATTTCCAAATGCATGGTCGGCAGAGTCTTGAATGCAAACTGAGCCATAAGGGGAAACACAGGAGAGATGGAGGTTTGGAGTAATATTACAGGTAAGTGAATACTATGAAGGACATCCGTTCTGCAAGGCCCCAGACCGTGTGTTCAGGCAGGTCAGCACTGGGCCGAGAAGCAGTTCCTTGGAAGACTCCAAGTTCTGGAAACTATCTGGCCAACTGCCTGGGACGCTAGGGAGTCCCTACTGACCGGATGGCACCTCAGCCTCTGCAAAGAAGATGGGCCTGGCCACGGGCAGGAACATTTGGGCACGTTCTGGCAGGTGGGGACAGCGATGGCATGAGCGGACGAGCAGGCTGTGCGACCATGCATTGAGACAACACTAGCAGGCTGTGCGACCATGCATTGAGACAACACGAGCAGGCTGTGCGACCATGCATTGAGACAGCACAAGCGGGGGTACTGTTTGCGAGGCGGGCTCCAGAGGTGGTTGGGTGCTGTGCAGAGAAGGGTGGTGAGGCATAGGGAGTCCCTGGTGGATACATACCAGTGTTTGGAAAGAAGACCTCCAGCATGGTCAATGTCTTCAGCGGTGTTTGCACAAGAGAGTCAGAGCTCCACAGTGGCACATAGATGACGGGCTAGGCTAGGCTAGGCTGGGCTATGTCGTAGCATAGGCAGTCATACCTGAGTGGGGGGCTTTTTCTCCGGTGCTGAATTGATTGATAGGAGGCGAGACGAGCGCTCTCATAATCAAGAGACTTCATTATTGCATGCATACAAGAATTGCTGTAATGCCGGCCTCGTCAATTGTGCTTTCAGTTTGTCTGACTCTTTCATGCGGCTTATTACCCGAGTTGGGGATTATGAGTCCTTCGTTGTATTGATTGACTGGAGGCAAGATGAGCACTTGCATGAACAAGAGATTGTATTATCTGCTGTGTAACAAAGAAAACCAACAGAAATTATCCCAGGCAGAACGAAGTTCGGGCGGGTACCACGTCACAGTTCAGCCGTCCTTGCTCGGATTCGCAGCTCCAATCATCAAGGCCACTGTTGTTGGTGCAACTGGGTTTGATGAAATAGTATTGCCAAATGTGGTGGTAAGCAGCTGGCAATCACAACAGTAAGCGATGTGCAAATCCAGCTCGAGGATGAGGGTTATGCAATTGAAGGTCTGCGAATTGCATCCCATCCACATATGTACAACATAACTCCTATAGCTAAGTGGGCCGCGGAGGGAAAGCTACGTGGCGACAATTTTTGCTTCCGGCGTGTTCTGGCCTTGAGATTTCGATACGAAGGGCTGGGATTGCCCGAAACGGTGGTTTCTAACGAAATGTGTCCAGGCCTACCGTGGTTCTCAGTGGGATTAGCATTTGGGGCGGAAATACTGTGCTGTGGCCGTTGATAGAGTGTTGTAGAACGGTGTTTGCTTTAAGTGCGGCGGGATCGGTGTTGGAGATTGTCAGAGGATCGCGGTGGTGCCGTTTTTTTTTTCCCGCATGCTGTCAGAAGACTCTGCCGTTTTGTTTTTCGTTTGTTTCTTCTCTTTTCCGTCATGTCTTTTCTGCTTCTTAGTTTTCCAGTTCTGTGTTTTCTTTTTCAACTCCCATATAGGGGGGCTGCCTCCTCTACTCACCCCATCCACAAAGGTAAAAAAATATGCTGGTGCATCTTTCCATGTTGTAGCAGAAGATTCACTCTCTTTTGCACATTTGGTTATGAGTTGTGGAGCGAGGCCCGTTGGCATGTTTCCTTTTCCTTGGCCAAAACTAAGGGCCTGGCCACCCTACTGTCCAAACGTGAAAAGCACGGGTGCCCGATCCCACAGAGAGTAGCCAGATGCATCGGACATTCGGGGCGAAGTCCCAGTAGCAGCAGGCTTGATTTCAAGCAGGCAATGGTACCTGCCATTCGATCTGAACATCTCATGGCCCACTGTGGCCGCGTTGAAAATACTCGAAAGGTAGACTAAACCCCCGCGACTCGGACTTGGCCCTACGAGTATTTTCGAGTATTTTTCAATGCTAGCGGGGTTTGGTCTCCCTTTCGAGTATTTTTCAATGCGGCCACAGTGGGCCGTGAGATGTTCAGATCGGATGGGAGGTACCAGTGCTGCACGAAATCCAGTCGAAAGCCCACTCAAAATAGAGTCTTAACGCCCGTAATCGGACTCAAAGTGGGCAATGTTGTTCGCTGAGGTTAACCCCCCGGTGAAGTTGGGGACTGTCTCTTATACACATCTAGATGTGTATAAGAGACAGGGATAGAGATGGTGGAGGAGAGATGGTGGAGGAGACATGGGGGAGGAGAGACGGAGGAAGAGAGGTGGGGGAGGAGAGTGTGTGTGTGTGTGTGTGTGTGTGTGTGTGTGAGAGAGAGAGAGAGAGAGAGAGAGAGAGAGAGAGAGAGAGAGAGAGAGAGAGAGAGAGAGAGAGAGGAGGGAGAGAGAGAGAGAGAGAGAGAGAGAGAGAGAGAGAGAGGGTAGAGAGAGAGAGAGAGAGAGAGAGAGAGAGTTGTAGTAAAAGCGTTTCTTCTTGTAGGTCATGTGAACCTTTCTCTACTAACTAATACGCGGTGGGGGGGGTGGGGGGAGAGAGAGAAAGAGACAGATTGTTTACTTGCGATGTTTTCGGTTTTCTCCTTTCTGTCTGCATTTGTAATTTTTGTGCTTTTGCTCTTGGTGCTGGACACACATACCATCGCGCTAAATGGTAACGTGCGCGTGCGCGTGCGCGTGCACACGAGAGAGAGAGAGAGAGAGAGAGAGAGAGAGAGAGAGAGAGAGAGAGAGAGAGAGAGAGAGAGAGAGAGAGAGAGAGAGAGCTTTTCTTTAGGGTTTCGTTAACCGTTGTCTCTTTCTCTTTTTCTTTTTTTTTCTCTTTTTTTTCTCTTTTTTTCCTTTTTCTTTACCAGTGTCCTTGCTCGGAGAGGTGATACGAGCACCCCCTCATAGCAAGAGTCCTGGGTGCTCCGGTCTATTGGTGGGGAACAGCACCTGCTGAAAAGCGGGTCCAGCGTCCCACTGTACATCAGAAGCCTGCCAGCATTGATTGCCCTGTTTCCAGGGGAGTGACTGCGCAGGGTTAATGATAAGTGTGTTTGACAACAGCACACTTTGGGGCGTGCTGCGGCCTCTTCGGTCTGCACCAGACCGCCAGATCACTCTTTTTTCCCTAGCAGCTACGCCCTGTTTCTTTTGAATAACGCGGCCTCCCATGACCAGCTATCAGCCCGCCCTATACTGCTCGTTCAATATGACCCGGCTGTTTTCATATCCTGCTTTTAGACCTGCCCCATCCTTACTTTGTCCCTTCGACCTGTGATCTTACTCAATATGCTCCATACCATTGCATATCCACAATTGCCAGCTGGTGGGGCGGGAAGGGGTCCGGAACTTTTGTGGGTGGTCGCAGCGGGATCTCCTGACCCACCGTAGTCCAGTCTCTGAAGCAGAGATGGTACTCTCCTGAACTCTTCCCTGTTACACTCCTGGGTGGGCCTGCCGTCCCATCTGACGAAGGCGATCCGGCCCCCGTTCTCACTGCCCAACCGGTCCCCAGAGAATTGATGAATTGGTTGTATTATATGTTTTGATGAGTGGAACAACTCCAGTTGGTTTTTATTTTTTTGCCTCTGCACCTTGAGTTCTTGTTGTATATATTGTTTTATCATGTCTGTTACCTCCTCCCCAACTATGCGGACCCCCTCAATGGCATGTATACA